TATTCACACGGACGCATTTGAGGAAGCAGTTCAAGAATATCGTGTGAATACCATCCTCGATGACCATCCGCCTGAGATAGTCGCAGAAGAGCAGCAGCTACCTCGACAAGCTAGAGTGGTCTTGGCACAGCTGAGATCTGGATGGTGTAGCCGCCTCAATTCGTATTGGGCACGGATTGATGGAGAGGTCGACAATGTCTGCCCGGCATGTGGTAACGGACCACATGATACGCTACATCTGTTCAATTGCCCAGCCAAGCCCACTCTCCTAACCCCATCTTCTCTCTGGACTCAACCTTTACAGGTCGCAGCCTTTCTGAATTTGGAGTTAGAGGCAGAACCAGATTAAGACAAATTGGAAATACACAGCAGTACTAGCTGCTACAACAACAACATGCCCAAATTTAAGTTTCTAGCTTTGGGCGTTGATCATCAGTCAGTCACTTATAACTAGACCTCGGATTTTGCATATTTCCATATTTTTTAATAATGAAGATATCGAAATTCTGATTGGACACAAATTCGTTTCAAAGGATTTAGAATTATTTGAAGGGTTCATATTTTTTTAATTTTTTGCATATGCACGAGATATGCAAAAAATATGCAAAATATGCTAGGTCGATATGCAATAAATATGCAAAATATATGCATAAAATATGCAAAATATATGCTAAAATATGCAAAAATATGCAAAAAATATGCACGTTATGCTAGGTCGATATGCGATAAATATGCAAAATATAATAAATATGCAAAATATGCAAAAATATGCAAAATATGCAAAATATATGCAAAAAATGCAAAATATGCAAAATATATGCAAAATATGCAAACATATGCAAAATATGGAAAATATATGCAAAATATGCAAAAAATATGCAAAATATGCTAGGTCGATATGCAATAAATATGCAAAATATATGCAAAATATATGTTAAAATATGCAAAAAATATGCAATAAATATGCAAAATATGCACACATATGCAAAATATATGCAAAAAATGCAAAATATGCAAATATATGCAAAAATATGCAAAATATATGCAAAATATGCAAACATATGCAAAATATATGCAAACATATGCAAAATATGCAAATATATGCAAAATATGCAAAAAATATGCAAAATATATGCAAAATATGCAAACATATGCAAAAAATGCAAAATATATGCAAACATATGCAAAATATGTGCAAATATGAGCAAAATATATTTCACATATGCAATCATTTTAATCAACAAAAAAAAATTCGTGGTAGTTTTCGAATTTGTCTGCTTTCTTTATTTTTAACCTATAGAAATCTAATTGTGTATGTATGCGTTTCATGGTTCAACTGTTAGATTTTTGGGGCATTATGAAAAATTTGCTAAATATATGTATAAAACATGCAAACATATATAACCGTTATATGGCCATATACTAAAACGTGGACCGATATATCCCATTTCCAATACCAAACATCCTAGGAGTAATAATAATATATGTGCAAAATTTCAAAGTTCTATCTTTAATATTGCGACCTAGCATACCGTGCATATTTTTTGCATAATTTGCATATTTTTGCATATTTTGTATATTTTGCACATATTTTGCATATTTTTGCATATTTTGCATATTTTTGCATATTTTGCATATATTTTGCATATTTTTGCATATTTTGCGTATGTTTGCATATTTTGTATATTTTGCATATTTTTGCATATTTTGCATATGTTTGCATATTTTGCATATATTTTTCATATTTTGCATATTTTGCATATTTTTGCATATTTTGCATATCGACAATGCATATTTTGTATATTTTTTGCATATATTTATCGCATATCGACCTAGCATACCGTGCATATTTTTTACATATATTGCATATTTTTTGCATATTTTGCATATTTTTTGCATATTTTGCATATTTTGCATATTTTTGACATGACCCCAAATATCGATCAATTAAAGCATGAAACGCCTAAATACAAAATTTGAGTCCAATCGGATAAAGCATAAAAAACTTATAACGCAACTCTTTTATATAGGGAAGAGGGGGCACCTTTGAACACACAATTTGTCGACAACTGAAAAAGCTAGCCAAAATGGTTTACGCAGATAAAGAACAAGATTGGCATATACAAAAATGTGGTAGCGGGTCGGAAAAAATTTAAACCAAGATTTTATGAGCGCTGTTCAAAGGTGACCCCCCCTCCCCTATATAGATTAAATTACATATATTTGTGTGTAACATATGATCAAGTAATGTAACAACGCCCTTTTTGGAACAACGGCTTACAACACTGTAATCGAATGAAAAGTCCAAACATTGAAACAGCTGAGCGGCTTTTTATTAACTATACAAAACGTTTTTACTGGATATTATGTTTTAATGGATTAGTTTGTACAATTTAAAATTAAATAAGATAGACACATAGTAATTTTGAGGATATACATAAAACAAAATGAAGATCTCAATTAATATCAATGTTCGCTAAAAAGATACCAAAATCGGAATATTAAAATTTAGCAAAAGGGGCAGATATAGTCAACCTTCGGAACAAATTAGAAAATTTATTTGGTTCATAATGCCAAAACGGCAATACTGTTTGGAGAAAAATGCGTTTAAAATTTGAGAAACCCTCTTAACGTCACTTGATGCTAAGACAAAAAATCGGCTATATCATCAAGAGTTGTTGAGATTTTCACTTGAAATTTTATAGGGAATGGGTGTCAGCTGTTACATACGTACATAATTCACTGGTTTCATAATTTATGTGGCAATTTTCACAATTTTAAGAGTATAATTTAAAATTACACTAATATTAATTATAAATTAAAAAAAAAATAATTTTTCATCAGCTGCCATATTTTTGGAACGCAACTATTTTGAATTGTATTATATATAATTGAATTGAATTTTGTAGCATACATTAAGGAAAATTAATTATTTTTATGGTTTCATACGTTATATGTAAACGCAGGATTATATTCGAAATTATCTCGATGTAGTATAGGATTTCGAGCAAATCGAGACACTGGGTTGATTAATTTTGTATGGCAAATCGTGGTAAATTAAACTCGATTTAACAATTAAATCGACGTTTAGAATATTTAATCCACTCGTTCTCAAAACGTAGTCTAACGCGCCCATGTAAACACCATATTTTCCGACTTTCCGAAATTGAGACGGCAAAAATGTCGCCGCGGCGACTAACCATGTAACGCTTCCGATTAGTCGAAAGTCGATTTAATTATCCCTAATCACAGATTGCCTAAACCTCATTCGTAAACAAATCGGTTCTCAATTAGTCTCTATCGCACCTCATTCGTAAATTTTCGGTTATACTTTTGAGTTCTTCTTTATCGTCCATTTTGTTTTCTCTTTCTATTCGTTAGTTAGGTGGAACGTTTTTCAATTTTTCTTCAGTCGATGAAAAAGGCGCAAGAAAAGCATTCTCTCGGCATCTTCGCATCAATCCAATCAAAATTAACAAAATTCAAATTAATTTTAATTTAATTCACTTATACACAGGAACCAAATTTATTTTAAATCATTTGGTAGGTAAGTGTCTTTTCCTATATTTTGATTTTTTTGTATTCCGTACTTTTAATGTTTAACTTAAATCTACTTTCGCCAATTTTTCGTATTTTTTGCAGTTTGTAAACAACTCAACGCCGCTTGAAAGTTAGCTTGTTGTGAAAAAGCGTGTTAGATATATCCGGAAGAACAATGGTCGAACGTATTGAAGATTTAAATTTACCCAATGCAGTGATCACACGTCTACTGAAAGATGCCCTGCCTGATGGTGCCAATGTTTCCAAGGAGGCGAGATCTGCCATTGCTCGAGCTGCATCGGTATTTGTAATCTTCCTGACCTCCACCTCAACATCTTTGGCACGTAAACAGAATCATAAAACCATAACAGCGACAAACATTTTGGATGCACTAAAGCAGCTGGAATTTGAAAGTTTTATTGATCCACTGGAGAAAGATTTGGAAGCGTATCGAAAGGTTGTGAAAGATAAAAAGGATAAAGCCAAAAAGGATACCAGTGCCACGGAAAATGGTGAAAAAGAAACCGAGAATGCAGCCTAAAAAATGTTAATTCGTTTTTTTATATATTTAAGTAAGCGTTGAAAGTGTATAGGAGAGTAAAGGATGCCGGTTAATCAATCGGTGTTGTTGTATACATAAACATAAGAACCATTTTTGTAATAAAGAGATTAATTATGAAAATCATTACGAATTGTATATATTCTCTGGGTATAGCCGTTGACTATTGTTACTAATATAAACATAGTCGGTTCTTTTGTTTATCCCCGTCTTCCATATACAATACAGAAGAACATCTCAACATTCAAAATATAGAAAACGTTGATCTCCTATATATATATGGATAAGAATCGCCCATTAATAGAAGTACTTCTATGTCTTTTATGCATAAAAACCCTTGTTTTTGGGTAGAAAACAATTCTTCTGTGTGTAAAACCCTTCGTGTCTATCTGGTGGGTAACCTTTCAAAATAAGGAAGTCATTTGTCTTCAAAGTATGTAGGACATTTGACTTCTATGAATAGATGGTCTTATTGGACTTCTATGTAAAGACCTACATTTAGAATACATTCAGTGCTCTGAGTAAAAATAAATTCTTTTGGTTATAGTATGGAAGACCTATGTACATAAAACATCTTATTGACTGTTTATATGGACACGGGGCTTGTCTTCTTAGTGGAAGACTTTATAAATCGTCTGTCAATAGTCTCCTGGGTATTCTAAATGCAAACGCCTTATAGGAAATCTTTTCGACCTTGTACTTGCACATCTTAAATTAAATAAAGTCATATTTTATAACAAATAATTAAAATTCTTCAGTAGATTTTCTTTTTATTATAAATAATATTGAGTATATAAAGGATATGAATTGTGAACATGATCTAGAAATGAAAAAAAAAACAAAAAATATATGTATGAAATGGACAAAAAGTGGAATGAAATATTCTTAACATGACTCTAAACTCTTTACTTAAAATTAATTGGTTAATTCGGCATTAACATCTTGCCAGAATGGATCTGAAAATGTATCGGATTCATCATCATCATTTTGTACTGCCGGCGATGACAATTCCACAGCTTCAACCGATGGTTCATCACATTCAATGGGCCATTCATCGTCTTGATTTGCCGACGATGTCATCGAGGTGTCTTGTTCATTTTTCGTATTCGATGACCATTGAGCCTTGCCCAAGGCATTAACACCATCCAAAGCCCTTTGATATGTTGGTTCATTACTCAATGCCGTTGTATAATATTCCAAAGCAGCATTGAGATCTTTTTCTTGGGCCAAAATATCACCCAACATGGTAAATAGTTTATAATGGGGATAAATAATAACTTGTTTCTTTAACAAGGCAATGGCCTCTTGGGTTTCACCCTCTGAATGGCAGAGTTCGGCCATTAATGCAACGGCTGGAGCATAGTGTTCATCGATTTCCAAAGCTTTAGCAACAACTTTCTTGGCACTCTTTTTTGCATTGGGATGTGTGGAATTGACCAAGGTGCGGGCGAACATCTGGAAAGGAAAATACTTTAGAATTTTTTACTATACAATGAAAGGAAAGCTTAATACTCACCACCAAACTCCTTGGAGATTCTCTAAAATAACGCACCGTTAGTGCACACATTGTCTGTGCCTCCTTGGCCCTCTTCATACCAACATAGCAATGGAACAGACCTTTGTAAACCTCAAAACGATAATTGGCAATACACTGGGCAGAACGGAAGAAATAAACCGCATCCTTGTGACGTCTTATTTGCAGACATATTTTACCCCGCAATAGCTGAGCTTCAACATTACGCGGATTCACCGATAGAGCCTTATTGGCAAATGACGCTGCCTTATCCAATTTACCATTGGCATAAAAACTTTGTGCCAGCACAAACCAATGTCCCGATGTAAATTCATGAATATTTGTCAATTGAGCTGTGAGTTTTTCCAACTCTTGAAGCTTTTGATTGTATTCGAAGACCACAGCTAGTGGCATTATTGCTTCCCAATTGTATGGATTCAACATTACAGCAGTCTCTAGATAATGTTGTGCCTGTGTAGAATTGCCATAATAATAGAAACATTTGCCAATCAACGTAATGAGATTTTCATTTTGATGAAATTTCGTTTTATTGTTAATACTTTGGAACGTCTTAGAGGCTTCCATATGTTTGCGACTATACAGCTGGGCATGCCCCTTTATCCAGGTACTTAGCCATTCGATATTTTTTGGTACTGTACTTGCTTTAAAGGAGAAAAAATAACTTCAATTAATCTGAATGAAAAAGAAAAATGTGATTGTTTACAAAATTTAGTAAAACATTAAAAAAATGAGATAGGGACAAATAGAATAAATCCATGTTACTGTTTATAAAAAAACCGATCTGAATTTAGCTTGATAAGAATCGTTCTAGTATCTCCTTTCTTGGATTCCGCAGTAGTTTAAAATTTTTCGTATATTTTCAAGAATACTTTTTATGTACTCTAAACAAACATAAAGTACCCATATGTTTTTATATTTTAATTTAACTTACCATTCATAACTAAAGAATTCACTTCAATTCCATCGACACCCAATTCTAATAAAGCATCTATAGCCTCCAATGCCATTGGACATTCACGCAATACTTCTTTATAATTTAATATGGCTTCACTCGAGTTCGAACCACCATGGTGTATTAATTTAGCCAACAATAAATGGACTTTTGGTGTTCTCGCCTTTGCAGGCAATGCCTGCAAAGCACTAATAGCCTGTGTATTTTCACCCAAATGTTTGTGACACATGGCCAAACGATAACGTGTCTCAGTTTCACCAAAATGTTCATATGTACTTTCGATTGTTGTAAGGTGGGCATTCTTGTAGCGTGACATAAATTTACGCATCAGCAGTGCAGCATTAAATTGTTTAATAGCCATGCGATATTGTTTCTCCTGATAGCAGGCATTGGCATGAAACAATAATACATTGTATTCAATTTCCGGAGTAGCCAATGTGCGTTCATTTTGCAGGAGCGTATTTAGCAAACTTGACTGGAATTAAAAGTGTTGTTATTTTAAAACAAAGCCTAGTGTAGTTCTCAAATACTTACAGCAGTTATAACACTCGCATACAATTCATTTTCATATAATTTTTTAATATTTGTAAGCAGTACGGTTTCCATTTTTGCAGATTTACCCTTAGCTTATGTTCATGACCTTTAAATCTGGAATTAAAAATTTATAGCCGATTAATAAAGTTCCAAATCAATTTGCATATTTGTAAATTATTCCTTATAGTCTATAAAATATATTTAATACGGAAGTGAGTTAGTCCCACCCGCAACACCCCTTGCATTCGCACCGGATTCCTGTCACCACCAATTGTGTTTGTCACGCTATGCTAATCTGGTGGCAAACATGTTTGTTTACCAACCAATTAAATGCAAACATCTTTTGTTATGAATATGCGTCAAAAGGAAAAGTTGATAAAAACCCAGAGAATCTTGTAAACAATGATAATAAGATGCCAGCCAAGAGAAAAATGCCACACATTTTCTACAAATGTATCCGCAAATAAAAATACACTTTACCATTGGCCTATACCATATATTTTTCACCCAATATACCTTTAAATGTTGGACGAAGTTGTTTTTTATTATTTTTAAACAAAAATTATTTTAAACTATGTATAAATTGCGAAAACGAAGCACCCGATGAAAGGACAAACAGAGTATCGAGACGAAGACTTTTTTCATCGACGGCGACGGCCAAAGTAGCCTCTGGCAACGTTAACTAACGTCATGTTCACACAAGACATTTACTTGAAATTAGGGCAATGTGTTATGCAATTGTCATTGTCTCAACGTAGTTTAATAAAAAAAGTTTTTTTCCTTCGGTCAAATCTTACAATTAACGGCTGATTGAAATTCATTAAATTGTACTGGATAAATATTACCCAGTAGCATTCAGTAAGTTCTCAGCGCAGAACTGTCAACAAAATTTCTCTCTTTTCGCTCTCTTTTATTGGACTTTGAAGTAAAAAGACGCGTGTGCGGGCTAGCGAAGATGTACATTATTGTGCCTATGGTTGGTAGGTCAGTATATGTCAAGGATCGATAGCAGTACGATTTCCTACGACATTTGAAAATTCAATATGAACATACGCCTCCGAAATTAATCAGAAGGACTTTCTGGTATATTTCTAATCGGTCATTCGGCAGTAGTTTCAATATATAAAACTGCCTATTAATCCAAAAATTACTCTCGCCAGATGTTCTAGCGTCCAAGACTTTTATATAGTCTTGGACGCTAGAACATCTGGCTATCAGAAACTTCAAGAACCGAATAATAATACATTTTTTCTATTTTTAAAATTGACAAGTTTTATGAGTTCTGGGGCGTGGAACCAACTAAAGAGGAGGACATGACAAGGATTATAGTTAAGCTCCGAAATTCTTTTATGTATCACTCTAAATTTCTATGTTAATTTCCGCCTGTCTGTTGAAATCACAATGGTTAAGAGGTCTATTAAATTTTTATTAAATACAAGTTTTGAAATATTGGGCCATGTCAAAATATGGAACTATATATAAGTGTTATGTCAATGTGTGGACCATTATTGAAATTTAAAACCACATCGCTTGAAAAATGTCTCTAGAATCAACAAAATGCTAAAAATTTTGGCCTGTCTACATGGGGCTATGTCGACACTTTTTCGATTTTTTTTAACTAAGAACTCGAAATGCGAGATTACAGTCATTTCGGTTAAAAATTGCAACTAGAATCGAAAATAGGGCAATATCGCTACATGGGGGCATATACCCAAAACATTCTAGAACAGTAGCAATATATGTGCAAAATAGCTCTATTTTAAATATTTCGAGGGCTATCGTGATTTCAGCAAAGAATTTACTAATTTTTAATATTTTTGTCAAAATTATAAAAGAAAAATTATTATCGTAGTAAAAATTGTACATTCTTGCAGGTTCTGGAACAGACCAATTGTCTTACTTGGGGCCTCTTTGCGTTCAACACGTGCGATACGCAACCTATTAGTTAACTGCTTCAGATATGGCCCCAACAGCTGTTTTTTGTTATTCGTTAGCGGCACCGACAGCGACAGCGGCGACTACGTAACATTTACAATTTACAAGTTTACGCATTTAGCACGCGAATTTCATTATTTTTACTGCCAGTTGCAATGTGTTTATAAATTAAAATAATTATGAATTTTGCCAGACTAATTATTAAACAGCATTGTGCTGTCCTCACGGTATTCCAGACACCAAAACACTTTTCCACCAAAATCACACCAAAACTTTCATCATTGTATCATAAATTGCCAGCAGTGCCGACAAATTTGGAACTTAAATTACAGGATTTAGAAGCGAGGGCTATATCAACACCTCAACGTGGAGCACATAAAGTGGCGGCGGCAACAGCTACAAATACTGCCCAGACATTGTCGAAAAATGTTCCTCTGAGTCAGGTGAATAAACGTAAAAAACGTGCCGGCAAAGCTGACTTAGCCGCATTGGGTTATTTTAATGTGGCCGCATTTTCTACAGCCGAGGAATATGATTTGGAAAATCTTCTGGAAGCCTTGAGACAACAAGAACTGTACGATGCTAAGAAATTCTTTTCAACAGATAATTTGGGTTTGGAACAGGATGTACTTTATGTCACGGCCAAATACCAAGTCGGTGAGGAGGATCGGGATATTTTCTTCTTTCGTGAAGGATCTGTGGTAATGTGGAATTTCAATGACATTGAGACAAATAATGTTTTGTCATTCTTGAGACCATTCGAAAAGGAGGCTTACCTACGGCCATTGGTACGCAGTGAAAGTGAAGTTATGCCCTATACCTATATACCTCCATCCGCCATTGATGTGGAGGGTGATATTGTGTCGTCCAGTGATGTAGAACCGGCCAAGGCATTCTTTCAAGGTGGCAAATTTTTCCTTACATCGGGGGAGGATAACTTTTTCTCGAAATACACATTCTCAAATGCCTTGGCCACGTCTGTAAAACTGGGTATATGGGAGGCGACGTTGGACAGATATATCGATTCTATGGAATTTCTAACAAACGACATGAAAAAGGGAAGGCGCATTCGAATTTCAAGAGCAGAAGTTTTGAGAAAAACCGGCGAACTGTTGGCATTACGTCATGTCATTAATTTATCATCGGATCTACTGGACACACCCGATTTCTATTGGGATCGTGAAGAGTTGGAAACGCTGTATTTGCAGATATGCAATTATTTCTCAATATCACGCAGAACGAAAGTTATGAACGAGAAAATCAATCATTGTGTTGAGTTGGCCGAACTGATATCGCACAATTTGAACGAGGCACACAATACACGTTTGGAATGGATGATAATCATATTGATTATGATTGAAGTTGGTTTCGAAATTATCCATTATTTAGATCGTTATTATGTTAAGGAAGATGAGGCGGCGGGTGCTAATGGCAATAAAGTATTAGCCCACTAGATGTAAGAGAGTAAGAAACAATAAGCATTTTAAGAGGCAATTTTGCCTTTGTTTTTTTGTAGATGTTGTTAAATAAACTATGTTTTTAATATGTATAAAAATAAACAGAATTTATCTATGTATTTTTATTGGTTTTTGGATGGATATAACAGTATACTGAATGATGGATTTTCATCTACGTGGAGTGAAAATATAGATATAATAATAACTTTAAGTGAGTCTATAACAAAAAAGTAGATCTTTTTGTCAGTTTTTGCAATACTATATTCCCTATTGGATTTATACTTATCTTATTATAAGGTGGGAATTCAGAGTACCTCATCGAAAATTATTGTTATGTTCTGAGACAACCAAATTACCGTCACTTGGTTTGGACAATTAGTCTAGTGATGTCAACATACGAAAAACTGATAGTATTCTTATGTTGGGACAATGTCAAAACATGTTCCTATATTAAAATATTTCTGAAAAAAATCTTCCCCGGAAGAATGCCAAATTACATCCGATATGATTGGAAATTTTTTCTAAGATTATTACAAAGAGTTTGAAAGTTTGTCTTGAAAAGTTTGTCCTTTAACATACTGAAAATCGGTAATACCTTATATAGGGGATATCTGAAGACAATGACCTATATTAAACGTCTTCTGTGGAGAATTTGTTTAAGAACCCGAAATGCTAAATTATTAGTACAATCAAAATGAGTTGGAAAATTCGGCTAACAATTTACTGGGAAGAATTTGTTTGCCTACAAGAATTCGAAATGCCAATTACTTTATGTGGGGGCTTTATCAAAACATCTCCCTCATTTCATAAACCATCATCAAGGTATGAGAGTTCAACAGACGGAAGGATGGGGATAAATTGGAAAGGAACAATTTCTAAAACTAATAATTTTTTACATTTCATTAACATTTATTGCAATTTATTAACATTAACAAAAAATCATAAGTATATATACTATTACATATTTACATAACCTAATCCCAAGCTTCCTTGATTTTGAGATGGCTCAAACGTTCCTCTATGGTCACATGTGGTTTAAATTTCTTTGCCGTTTGAGCATCATTCCACATGGCTATCTTTGCTTCTGATTTCTTCAAATCCTTGACGTGTCCGGCAGATTCCTCCTGTAAATAAACATTTGTATTAATACAATATACTTTATGGGAACTTCCATTTATACATACCACCGATAAATAAGGATGCCTCAAATATAGCATAATTTGTTCTTGACGTTCATATTCACGACGTAATGTTTCCATGGCACGTTTACTAACCGGCTTAACCAAACGACGTTTACCACGGAAAATATGACCGGGAACGGTATCTTTGAATAGTTGGATCAATGTTAAACGCATTTTTTATAGATTTTTATTGAAAATTCCAAGTTTTATGTAAACAAATTGTGTGAAAATTGCATGAACAAGAGCCCGTAGATAAATTAATCAGCTGTTTTTACAATTCAGGGTGCATCTTTGGCGGCGACGTGTGTATTTAGAATGAATGGCAACACCGTATAATATGACAGAGTAGGTTATGTGTACATTGTTTATTTATTTAAAAAATTAAATAACTTTAATAAAAATAATAAAAAAAATAAGTTGAATTCTATGTTTGGTTCGGAACTATCTTCGCTTGCCTGGCGAAATTTTTTTGTATTTGGGACAGTAAAATCTGCTTTCATTGTGTTTGCATGTATGTTGGCGTTGTGTTTTGCCAAACAGCTGATTATGAACGTGCTTAACAGCTGTCAAAGGGCAGCCGGTGTTTTGATTATTGATGTAACAGCTCAAATAGATTGTGAAAATGTTAAAAACGTTTAGTATTTCCTTATGGAAATTGAAAAATAACCACTGCCTATTGAAGTAAGTCAATTTTCAATTTGCTTCTAATTCCAAAAATTAAATGCATTTTATTTCATTTATTTAGTTTACATCTAACAGCCCGCCGTTTATTATCCTCGTCTACCGCTGCTGCTGAGGATACAAATAACAACAAGAATGATCTCGTCAATGATTTTGCCAATATACCCGTCGAGCGTATTCGTAATTTTAGTATAATTGCCCATGTTGATCATGGCAAGAGTACCCTAGCTGATCGTTTGCTTGAGCTAACCGGTGCAATAAAGGCCAATTCTGGTAGCCAAGTTCTCGACAGCTTACAAGTGGAAAGAGAACGTGGTATAACAGTTAAAGCTCAAACTGTTTCCATATTTCATAGCTATAAGAATGAAACATATTTATTGAATTTAATTGATACACCGGGTCATGTGGATTTCTCCAATGAAGTTTCACGTTCTTTGGCGGCATGTGATGGTGTCATATTGCTGGTAGACGCCTGTCATGGTGTACAGGCTCAGACGGTAGCCAATTATCAATTGGCAAGGACTCGAAACTTGGCTGTTGTACCCGTACTCAATAAAATCGATATAAAACATGCAGCACCCGAAAAGGTGTGCAAAGATTTAAAGAATCTGTTTGACATAGATCAGGAGAAGGTGTTGAAGGTAAGTAATTGGACTTCATTAGAAAATAATTGTAATTTATATTTATTTAGATTTCAGCCAAATTGGGTACTGGCGTCCCGGAAGTATTGAATAGAGTAATTGAAGTTGTACCTCCACCAAAAGTTGATCGTAATTCTCCTTTCCGTGCTTTACTGTTTGATAGTTGGTTCGATCGCTATCGTGGAGCCTTAAATTTAATTTATTTATTAAATGGCAAATTGGAAGTCGGTCAAGATGTTCAATTGTATTCAACTAAAAAAGTGTATCCTGTAAAGAGCATTTCCATATTGAGACCTGCCGAAACGGAAGTCAAGTGTATGTAAGTATTTATTTTTAATACAAAAACATCTTAATGAGAAAATTTATATGTATGTCAAGCACAATGTAACAGGGGACCACTAGGAGAACTCTTATGTATTTTAAAGCATTCCTAGTCTTTTCCTGAGATTTTAAATATGTTCCAAATTGCTCACCTCTAAGCATATTTAATAATGTCCATAGATATATTTGGAGAAAGCATTTTCTGTTATCTACAGGGATCTACCCATTATAGATCGGGAAACATACCACCTATGGTGACTGCAGCAGGGCTTCGTAATGTATTCAGATGATTGCACGATCATGGCGTCGGGTACCATTATTGATGACATATCTGAGAGGTTTATCTTCTACATAGCTGATCTTGTAAATTTCTTCCATCTGACGGCTGAAATGAAGCTACTACTGAACATAATGGTCGGTGGAGAACTGATTCCGACCAGTAACTTTCCTCAAGATACTGGATAATGCGATAAGCTGGGAAGTAGGAACAAGATCCTCAAGTCGCTAGCCGGCAGCACTTGGGGCGCTGTCAAAGATACCTTGTTGATCTTATAAAGCAATAGGCCGGTCAGTGGTAAGCTATGCGGCACCAGTGTGGTTTGCGAATGTACGTGATGGCAGAATAGTTCCCTGAGAACTGCAACGGGGTGTCTCCTCATGGCTCCAGTGGACCATTTTCATGGGGCGACGAAGATCTTACCCGTCCTTCGTCACAATTATATGTTGTCGAGACAGTACTTGCTTGGGTGCTATCGTCGGCAACATCCCTGTCATAGTCTTTTGGATAGGACTCCCCCGAGCAGGTACGTCAGGAAAGATCTTCATGATCTAGGGTGAGAGAGGTCCAAAGATATAAACGTGAACCTCTAGATCAAGAAGCCTATCAAGCAGGGCTGAAGGCTATTCACACGGACGCAATCGCTCAGGCAGTAGAGCAATATCGTGTGAATACTATAATCGGAGACCACCCTCCATCCATCGCAACAGAGGAGAAGCAGCTGCGCGGACAAACACGAGTAGTCTTTGCTCAACTAAGATCAGGATGGTGCATCCGCCTCAATTCCTATTGGGCAAGAATTGATACCTAACACATGTCTTGCATGTGGACTAGGACCTCACGATACGTTGCACCTCTTCATCTGCCCAGCTATGCCGATTCACCTATCGCCGAATTCGCTATGAACGGAAGAATATCTTTCTATAGCCCGAAAAGGAGCAGTCTCTGTATTTTACCTCATTCGTGGAACTATTGAAGAATATCGCAATTTAATATCAGTTGAGAATTTTATTGCGTCCAAAATATGTGTTTGAAGCCCGATCCCATTTAATTACTATTGTACAAATTATTGTTCAAAAATAACGATATTTTTTGCTTCCTATTTGTAGATCTGCTGGTCAAGTCGGTTTAATTGCTGTGAATATGCGTAACAGTAAAGAATCCGTAATCGGTGATACATTCCATTTGAAAAATGAAACCTGTGAACCGGTGGGTAGTTTCAAGCCACAACAACCCATGGTTTATGCTGGCGTATTTCCATCGGATCAATCGAAACATGTCGCCTTGCGTAGTGCCATCGATAAGTTGATATTAAACGATTCAGCTGTAACAATGAAAGTCGATTCCAGTCCTGCGTTGGGACAAGGTTGGCGCTTAGGATTTTTAGGTCTCTTACACATGGAAGTTTTTTGCCAACGACTGGAACAAGAATTTGGTGCTGAACCAATTATAACTGCCCCCTCCGTGACATATCGCATTGTATTGAAAAATCCCAAAATGATTAAACAAATGGGCACTGATACTATGGAAATATCAAATGCTGCTTTATTCCCCGAACCAATTAATATCAAGGAATACTATGAACCTTTGGTCAAGGGTACAATTATAACACCCACCGAATTTGTGGGACAAATTATTAGTTTATGTGTTGAACGTCGTGGTGTCCAGGAGAGCTCGATTAACATTGATAATGATCGGATATTGATGAATTATGTGCTGCCATTAAGTGAAATAATATTGGATTTTAATGATCGCCTGAAGTCGATTAGTTCCGGTTATGCTAGTTTTAATTATGAAGATTATGGTTATCATTTAACAAATTTAGTACGCCTTGATATACATTTAAATGGACGGCCGGTAGAGGAACTTTGTCGCATTGTACATGTGAGTAAAGCCAAGGATATTGGCCGTGATATGGCCACGAAATTGAAAGAAACAATACCAAAACAAATGGTACAAATTGCCATACAGGCGTGTGTGGGTAGTAAAGTTTTGGCCCGAGAAACCATTAAGGCTTATCGCAAGGATGTCACAGCCAAATTGGTAAGTTAGATTTTGATTTTTTATATTACAAAAACAAGTGAATAACTGTATTTTATTTCCTTCTTTAGTATGGTGGTGATGTGACACGGCGCATGAAACTTCTACGCCAACAGGCTGAGGGTAAAAAGAAAATGCGTCAAATTGCAAATATTAATGTGCCCCATGAAACGTTTATCAATGTCTTGAAACGTTGAACTTCCTTGTGCAAGGCGGGGAACTATAATGGTGGAACATCAACCTAGTTATAAGAAAACAGTGAGTTTTGTTTGTTTTTTTATATTTTTTTATTTATTTTGTTAATTAAAAAATAAATGTTTTGGAATTCGATAAAGACAAAAAGCTTTAAAAACACCTGTAAAACACCCTGGCATTGTTGTGAGGAATATAAAAATAGAACTAAAAAAAAAAACAATTATTGTTGCATGTGAAACAAGCACGACAAAAACAAAATGTTAACCTCAGAAATCCCAGAGTTAAGCAGTTTTGTTTTTTTTTATATGATAATATCCTCAATAAATTTTGTCTATATCCAAAATAATTTAAAAATAAATTGTGGGAAGAAGAAGGGAATTGGTGAGGATACGTTTCGAAACTATAGTTCTTCCTGTTGGAGAGAAAAAAGTATTTATTACTTTTTTTACGTCAACATTTCTTATCCATCCACACTGGAGCCGCATAGTATAAGTTCTTCCAAATACTGCCGGCTAATGACTTGAGAAATTAGTGGTTGATTGAACTAATGAATTATCCAATGTTTCAAGGAAAAGGTTTTTACTTCTGCTAGCAATTGGATATATGGTCTAAGTTTAGGTTAGGTTTGGGGATGTGCAATCACTAACTATGACTGCAACACTCGGGGACCGTCCGGTCCATTGTGATCATCCAAGAAGAGACATGGAGAGATCTGTAGGGAAGAAAGGGGATAGAGAAGACAAGAAGCTAAAAAATAAATAGGCAATAAATAGTGTCGATGGTTGTAGAAATTTTGATAAAAACATATTACGTGCTCGGGTTGCACTGTCCCAACCTCTTCAGGTTTCTGATGACGTTGTAGATTAAAGCAGGTTCCATAGTTGACAAGAAGCTTACACACGGTGGAAAGTGAACATCCACTAATCTGTGCCGTCTTTATGCCTGAACTGGACAGCGACACAGGAGATGTTCAATTATCTCCGTCTCCTCCTCGTTGTCACAGAGCCTGCAATAATCACTAACATCATGGTCCCACTTACTGGTAAAGACCCTGATAATGCAATGGCCAGTAATAACTCCTTTCATTACTCTAATTTCAGCCTTGCTCAGGTTCAACAGTGAATTTGTTCTTTTAGCTGGCAGAGTCGCCCAAATTTAGTCCGTCGTTCGCCAACGAAAGCCTAAAAATTCCGGAAACGGTGACAAATGGGTAGTTTGATTGAGTCATCGATTGCTAGATCTGTAGATTTAGATCCTCGTCCAGCTAGTTCGTCTGCCATTACCAAGATTTCACAATGTCCTGGTAACCAGCACAGCCGAAAGCTGTTAGTGAGTATTTCTAAAACTGCTCTACACTCGAGGATGACCTCTGACTTGATATTACAGGATTTTATAGATTTGAGAGCCGCCTGATTATCCACAAAGATAGTCACCGGTTCAAAGATTTCTGCATCCAGACTTTTTGTCAATTCAGCTGCCTTCCAAATAGCGAAGGTTTCAAGGCCTAACCTTTCACAGTAGACGTCAGCCGTTGTAAATTTTTCCATATTGGATCCGTCTGTATAAAAAGCCAGACCCTCCAGAAAAGGGTTACTACGGTTCCAGTCGTCTCTACTGGGGATAATGACATCTACATCGTTAAATCTCAGGGCTGGTGATATATAGTCGCTTATGGTCCATCTTTTATTATAGCCCATATAGCGGGGTGGTTGTAAATTGACACTCCTGGTTCTTGGTGTGCAAAACAAATTTTCCACGACCCATTTAAGGTATGTTTATGGTCCTAGCGGAATTGTTTAAAATTCTTTCTCTATACAGCAAAAATTTGGACATGTTTGCTGGAACCTCAAAACACAATCATTAACAAACCTCAAAGCATTCTAATTGCATTATCATGGTTTTCAATATCATGGACGTTCCCTGAGGAGACTGATGATAAGAATTTACTTTAATTTTATTTAAAATAAACAACCTGTTTAACATAGAATACTAAATATTATTAAGAACTCAATAATAGTTATCACAACATTTTAATGGCAGTGGAGACCGCAAATATAAACGAAAATTAATGACATATTTAGATAATAAACAAAAATATATGCTCTCTGTAAATAAATACCAGCAGAACAAGTTACAAGATAGCCTGTTGAATTCGAATTAAAATACAAAAAAGAATAAACAGGAAGTGCAAATTAAAAAACTGAAGGGTTGAAATCCTTCCTCTTGTAATATGATATTCATATATTTTTTGTTTACAATAATTTCATTAGATACTAAGTATATTAAATAATTCGATATTTTTGTAAACTAGTGTATTTGTTTGTTTTCTTTTTCTTGTTTGCATTCCTCTTTTTTTTCCTAAAAGTTTTGTTTTTCTGCACTTACCACAGTAAACAATTTGAAAATAACTAAATTCATAGATTTATATTTGCACAAGCTATGTTTATTCATAGAACGTATTAACATTTAAAGCTACATCATCTGATTTGTTTGATAGACTTGATTATATACATATGTATATTTATTTGTTTTATTTTTAATGTTTGGATTTGAATTCCCCTCCATTCGTTGTACTCTTCCCATATATGAAAGCGATAAAGTTTGTTTATGTTTTGTATGTGACTCTCTCTTTTCTCTCTCTCTCTCTCTCTAAATATTATACAATTTTTGTTATTGCATATCATTACCAACACAAACACACTGAACAGCTGGTTTAGCTTCATTTATTTGATTTCTCTGTTTCCCTGTTGATTTATTTTTCTGCCAGAGATGGATGTTGTTGAGTATTTGGATTTAAGCTTCGCTAAGTTTTATGCGTTTGCACAAATATATTGCTATTTTTGTTTATTGTTGACCAGACAAAAACATTAGAAATTAATTCTACTGAGATAATCGACGACTCTTAGTAAAACAATTTGTGGGGAATCAGCTGATTTAGTTTGACACACAATACGATTTGGTATCACAATATATTAGGTTGGGGAAAAAGAAATCCATTATTTTTATATGTACTATATTATTTTTATGTGCATTATTTAACATGGTTCGGAATGATTTGGGGCAAATATCCACCATTTTGTTGTATGATTTGTTGCCATTTTAAAGGTAACTTCATATTGTCTCTCTCATAGATGTCTTGCTCTCTATTTGCAAAAAAAAAATCTAGTAGTCGGTTTTAACACAAATTTTGTATCATTAAAGAAATTTTGCAAAGCAAGAAAAAGATGATAATCTCTTCGTGTCCCGAAGTTTCTGGCGAGTCACTGTAGATGTGTGTGTCCTAGCGTTGTCCTGGTAGAACACGACACCTCCTGTTGGCCGATTCTGGTCAATTGCTATCTTCAAACGGTCCAGTTGTTGACAGTAGATATAAGAATTTATCGTTTGGCCATATGGAAGCAACTCCTAATAAATAATCCCCTTCAAGTCCTACCAAATACATAGCAGAACTTTCTGGGACCTTAGTCCTGGTTTGGCCACCGGTTAAAGTGCTTCACCGTTCTTTGACCAACATCGTTTTCGCACAGGGTTATCGTATGTGATCCATTTCTCATCTTCAGTTACCATCCGTTTAAGAAATTGGTCTATCTTAATCCGTTTGGCCAAGGCAGATGGAAATTCGATCCATTCTATTTTTTCTGTTAACTGGTGTGGCAACCAAACATCGAGCTTCTTTTTGAATATAGCTTTGTGAAAATGGTTTAAAACATTTTTATGGTCGAAACAAAAGCCAAGGTACTGATAATTTGTCCATACAAATGGTCAAAAACAATAATTTATTGCATATTTCCAATGAGCAAAATTGCGTATACTCCATATACAGATGTGATTACAATAAAACCGTACTGAAAAATTCGCTTATTTCAACTTGTCACCATCCGAAGCGGTACAAATTGTCTAGGATATTATTATCATATTTGCAATATGTTCCTTATTAAATTCCTTATTAAATATGTTCCTTAATAATATTATATATTAAATATGTTCCTTAATAATACAATCCAATATCAACAAAAGCAAATCCAATATCGACGAAAAACTCACTTTGAAGAAAGCTCCCTGGGTTTCAATGATACTTGCCCCACGTTGGAAGCCAGTGAAGAAACTCGAAACAACAAGATTTACAATAATGTTGGCTACTTCTTTTTTAGGAACTACTTCTAGCTTATGATCTAGTCCATCAACTTGGGCAAGCGTGGGTAATGATCATAAGCCTTCAGTGTTCGCTAAACGAATTAGAGCCGGGTGGTCCAGGACTCGAAGTGTAGCTGATTTTATTGAAATTAAATTGAGCTTATGGTGTTTTTACACGATATGTATTTTACATATGTGCTGTCACTTATTTCATCCATATGTAATTCCTTATGTGTGTCAAAATTAGCGGCATACACAAAACATTTATTTTTTTGTTCAAATCGGCATATGTATTTTACATATGACATAACCTATAAACAAAAAATCACTTTTATTTTTTCTTAAATCAACATCATTTTTTTATTAAACACCTACAAACAAAATAATAATTTGTAATTGTTGCCTTTTCATCCTTTTTTTCTGAATTACAATTGAAATATTTTCTTCCAACAATGTGTTTCATTCAAACAGCTGATTTCCTTATGTTTCACATACGAAAATAGAGCGCGTCCTATTCGGAAAAAAATACATATGTAATTGCATATCGTTTTGACACATTGAAATTTCCGTATGTTTCACATGACGAGTTCGATTTCCATATGTAAAAAAGTGACAGCACATATGTAAAATACATATCGTGTAGAAACACCATTAGGTACTACTTATGAGAAGCAAGATCATCGTCAAGTATTGGTTGTATGATAAGGTATTAATATCAGTGATGTAGTAGTAGTTTTTGGTACTATTTACATAGTTAACCGTTAATTTCAAATGTTTAAAACAGACTGTACACACAAATTCGTACTGTACATATTTTTGCACTCATATATGTATTGAAAAGAGTATAACTTGACCAAAAATTGAAATTTTTTAGATTTTTTGATATGTGTCGTCCATAATCAGCTCTTGACATATGTGGTCCAAAAATATACATTTAGTATCCACCTATTAAATATAACCTCTTAAACATTATGTTGCCTGTAGGCAACATTGGGCCACAAAAGGTTAAGGGTGATTTTGCGAATGTTAGATGTACTGTACAATTTTTTTGCTAGTTTTGATAGATTTTACAGATTTTTTTTTAAATTTATTATCTGTAAATTATATCATCGGTTCATAGTTTATTTAAATTAAAAAATTTAAGAATTCTTTTAAATATTTTCAAAAAATGCAGTAAAGTAAAAAAATCAAACAATGATTTATTTATGTGTCCACTTCAAATCGATGTTTTTTCATAAAAAGCGTTATTTATGAAAAAAATACATGCAATAATTTACTATTTTCCCACTAAATATCTTAAGTGCAGTATATCTAAGTGTTCTGAATTAAAAATACTTCCAACGGAACGAGGGCTGATCAACAAATTTTTACCACAGTTAATGTTTTAATTACGTGACAACCACTGTATGTATTGTCGAACAGGATCTTCAAAATCCGTAGATTTTCATTTATAATTATATTTTTAATTTATATTTTTGTATTTTTTTATTTCTTTCACTTTTTTTCTTATTCAAGTTATTTCTTGTCGATTTCACAATCCCATCTCTGACTGATTTTGTTGACGTTGACTTTTTACAGATGATTGTCGTTATTTTGTTATTTGGATTCGTTTATTTCTGCTTGTCACACAGGCTCGGGTTGGCTATTTGTTTTTTTTTCTGCTACGATAACAGAAGCAAATTAATAATTTCCAATTAATAAACAAATATCAAGAAAATTAAGTGCATAAAAATAGTAAGTGTGTATAAAAATAAAATAAACTAACAACAACAAGTATACAAATTAAACTTGGAATATGTGTCAAAAGATAAAAGAAAACAAACTTAAAAAAACGCAATAGTTTTTTTATGAATGAGATTTGAAAAAAAGTCAAGTCAATCAAGTCAAAATGTGGACAATTTATTATTATTTATTTTTTATTTATTTAACACCCCATCCCCTTTTTGTGGGATGATATGCAAACATTTTTATTATTCTGTTTATTTATTTTGATTTGCTTTTGTTTGTGTTGGTAGTGATCTTCACTTCTTCGGCCGCCCTCTTACGGAATTCCTTTAAAATATTTTTAATTATATTAAGATCTCTATTGCAAAAAAATTGAATTGAAGAAATTAAAACATAAATTGTTAGCCTTGATTAATGAAAGTATTTTTGGTTATATTTTTGTTTATTTTTAAATTCTTTTGTTTTTAAGGAATAGGTAAATTGTTATCTCATTTTGTACATTAAATATGTGATGACATGTACGTACGGACTTACAAACATATACACGCATGCAGTGAAAAACAACAAATGATGACTACGTACATGCACACATCCATACGTTTTGACAAAAAGTCGCTAAAAAATGAAAAGTTTTCAATAAAAGACCTCGAATAAATGTTCAATAACAATATTTATATTATGCATGTTTATATATATATATATATATCTTCCGTGTTAATATAGTCTTTAAATTCTTGAATAGGATTTTTTAATACTTGCATTTTCTTCAACCATTTTAATGTTTTATGATACAAAATTAAAATAAAATTCACAAAACAATCAATTTGCTTGAGAACAGTTTTTTTTCAGAAAACTTAACAAAACAGCTGATTAAATATCATCTGATGGTTCAAGAAAATTCTTACTGAGTAAATTTTTCATGTAAGAATTTGCGAATACTCAGTAAAACAACAGTCAAATCTGTTCTTTCAATTCACTTTCTTTTACGGGACTTTTGAGTAAACGATAAGCATTTTGTAATAATTTGTACAAATTATTGAGTGAACGAACGAAACTAAAACGGCATTTACATTGGATTTTTTGCAGGTTTAACTTAATTTATGAGGATTTATTTGACCGTTACGTTAATGGAATTAACAATTAAAACCATTGGGTTAACTAAATCCGGTACAATGTAAACGTACTATAATGTAAGCTTATTTGCCAGCCGGTAGAAACTCGTCGAAATTTGAAGTCGAGAATGGGTGAGGTCCCTTTAAGACAATTTTTCGTAAATTAAACTATCAAATAACTAAAGAAAAAATAGAGGAAGAGTGAAGGAATAGGTAGCTGTTGTTGAAATTGGTTGGCTGAAAGCTCTTTCCTGAAAATATTGATAGAAAACGGAACAAGAAAACTATATTAATTAGAAATTCGGATTTGAAGAAACTGTGTCACCTCTATTGGCTTTAGCCATAAGTCAATAGGCAATAGACTTGTAGGCTCGGATGGACAATTGAATAGGTGGTGTGTGTCGTGAGGGATTTGCTGGCAGGAGGGACGCCTGTTTATGGTTCCGGGGACAATGCGATACGAGTTGAGAACAATGCTGTATGCGGACCTTAGTTGTGCCAAAATCGAACGAATTTGCCTAGGAAGAAGCCTTTCACTGAAATTGCAGGAGGATGTTGGAGTAGAACTTTATTGCATCTGTAGACATTTGTGGCTTCGAAGACTGTCAGTTGTTTTTTCCTTTTTTGGTTTATCTGTGACTTATATTTCGTGTTATTTGAATTAACTTTACGTTTTATAAATCATTTCCAATTTTTGGTTAATGATTTGACATCACTTTTGCCTTAACACCAAACAAATAAACTAAAATTTATGCTCCTTGTTGTTTAGGCCTTCAACAATTGATGTCTGACAATAAAGAAGGGTGAGCCGAAACCCAAAACGGTGAATGTGGTGAAAATGGCTGTAAGCTTGTAACGGTTCTTCAAGCTGAAGGGCAAGTTTTCACCTGGAATACCACAATGCATGTTGAATCTAACCATAGCCTTGGAAATGTTACGGGCAAACAATAATTAGGAAGCGTTCAACATTTTGCACCGAAAATTTAGTTTAGTTTCGTTAACACGAGCAGACGATGGAGAAACTTCTTCAAGTTGATGCACGGATTTCATCGCGTTCGCTATTGACAATCTGTTGATGCCCAATGAAATGACGTCTTGAATGCCATCACTATAGCGCCTGAAGTCTTGACGGATGTGTCGCGGAGGTCGATCTGCCTTCACTGTGTGATGGTTGGGATGACCCGGCAGATAGCATACCAGCAGGAACTGTCTAGTCAACAAAACATTACGTGCTCGACTGACAGCATCCTGGTATCCTCATCGAGGTGATCGACGCTCGTCATCTGGACACAGCCGGTTGCAATTCGAAGTGCATTATTTTGAGTTGTTTACAAGGATCTCCAATGTGTGTCGCTAAGGAAAGATGTTCAGACGGGGCAGCACTTTGCAGTGGGTAATTTTAGATAACGCTTGTTGATGGTGGCTAAATAGTTTGACATTTTTGAAGCTAAATCGTCAATGTTAACGCTGATCGAAACAATCGTACACTCATCGGCGTGCTACACTACTGAAACATCAGGTGGAGGAATGGGGAGTTTCGCAATATACATGTTTAACAAAATGGGAAACCGTACTCCCACTTTGATCTTGCGATATTTTGATTTTGGCGAAGACCTGCCGCTCACTAAGTTAGTTGGGAAGTCAACGCTTGATATCACTGCCACAATGGTCCGTTCAGGCGGTCGTCGCTGATTTAGGTCATTCGCAATCTTGGAAGTAATTTCTTGCAAAGCCGTTGTTGTGCTATATGATTCCCTGAAACCGTGTAGGTGGATAGCAAGAACGAAATAGGTAGTGGTCAGGGGTGGTCGCCAAGTCATGACAAGGTTGTGGTAGAGGAACGTTAGAGTGTCTATTTCCTATCTACCATACATTTGAAGCTTTGACATAAACATTTTCGACTTTGAAAAGAGAGACCTGATTATGTAATGATCTGTGATGATCCCTACAGTCACCTTTAACTCTTTCCTACCCATAGAAATCAATGTTTTGAATCTATTCTTAGAGATTACACATGTTGAGGTAGGTAAAAAACTCATCACATTCTATGTTCCTCTACAAACAAAATAGAAAAGAACCTCATCACTCCAAGATCAAGTTTCTTACTTCAAAATTATTTGAATTGACATTGCCGGTATGGTTTCGATTAAAACCGTATACTCAGTCTTACAAAGACTAGGCCGAATATAAAATATAATCAAAACATTGCTGTATGTACTTTGGGAAATTCTTATTAAAAGGAGACATAACTTATGTCATGTTTGCATGTGGGGAAATTATAAGATATATGGAAGGAATTATCGCTGACATTGTTCACCTATTTCTATACCGTTTTTTATCTCATCCAGGGTAGGTTTTTCAAGCAACATCCCACTCCGTTTATGAATAATGGATAAGCCGAATATTCTATTGAATTTTGAATTGAATGTTACATATATTGTTCAGTGTGATTAAATTCCAAATCATTCATTTCGGGTTCAGATGGTATAACATTTTTTCGTATATATTATTTTTATGTGCTGATGTTGATGTCTTAGTGTAACATATTTTTCACATTTTCTTTTAACTACTGTGCAAAAACATTAAAAATACCATAACACATAGATAACATCGGTTGGATGGAGGGGACTTTTTGTTACAATTGAATTGGTGGTTGGCTTATCAGTTTAAACTGTTCTTTATTTTTAGCTATACATGGATAATATATGTATATGCATATATGTTTGTTTATATCACAGTATAAGAAGTATGTATCTCGGTCACAACACATTGGTGTTGGCGATTTGTGGTTTAAACGATCGTGTGCGTTTACTAGGTTTCTGCATAATTTGGCCTTTTAAAGTTGTACTTAATTGATAGTAAACAAGGCAAAACAAAATATAGAAAAGCAAAAACAGTAACAAGCACAAGCACAGGCAAGCAAAAAACAACTGGTTTTGTCAGAGTCGTCTAAATCAGAAAACAAGTCAAAAAGTGCACCTGTATAATGTATGCCCCTGCTGCTACCTGCCCAGTATGTTTATGTGTATCCAAAAACGGTAAACACCTCCAAAAACACGGTCAAGTAAGAGAGCGCAAACATTTAGTTTTTTTTTCGTATTTTGTCATGCATCTCTCGATCAAAATAAAGTGAGAAATTAGATTTTGCAAAAAAGAAAACAAAAAGATACTCACAACATAGCTTCTCAAACAGTACAAAATTGTTTTGTCACACATGTATGTATGTATCATCATCATACATTTTAGAAGTATCCAATGAAATCTTGACCAAAATATATAAACAGTTATATTGTTGTTGTTGTTTTAAAAACCAAACAAATAAGGCATAACAACAAAATTTACTGCGCCATTTTATCAGCGCCTTTTTTTTGCTATTTTTTTTACTGCATTCATTTTTTATTATTATGAAATTTTTGTTTGTTTTTCTAAAATACCCTACATACATTTCACATTTATGTGGTTTTAGACGATCGGAAAACACAATGATTGTATTTGTGTTCTGTGACATGTTGTCATGTGGTGCTTCTTATGGGACATAAATTAGTTAATAATTTTAAGGTATATTTCTCCATAGGCTTAAGTAATATTAAACAAGTAAAAATGTCGGCCAAACTTTGGGCATTCAAAACATTGCGAGTCGTTTGGGACTTTTTACATTCACTTTTGAAGGCATATTTTTGTAAAATAAAAAAAATTAAAAGGTGTGTTTCTTGGAGACACCTAAAAACATAGAACTCAAAATATCAAATTACAGCCAATTCGTCCAGAAACAGCCAAAATGTGTCCAGAAACCCAAAAATTACCAAAATTTAATTTTTATTGAAATTTGTTACCCAATATGAACTCAAAATATAAAATAACAGATAATTCGGTTGGAATGTGGGTCTAAAAATCCTGAAAATACATTTACTAAATATTTCACTGAAATTTCATAAAATTTATTAATTTGTTTGAATGTAGATTGCAAAGATAACCGATTATAGAAATAGATGACAGGTGGAGGACATTCGACAGTCAGTTAAATAAGATGATTGTCCTCTAAAAAAGAGGACCTTATGTTCCTGATATCTGAGAACAAAGGCTAGGGAGAGCTACTATATATTTCTGTCCTAATAATGAAAATGCGAAAATTTAAGATCACAAATGGTTTTATTATTTTTCAAAGTATTCTACAACAGGTCTTATAGTACGATTACATTATACCGGATTTCGTTAACCCTGTGGGTATAAATTGTCAATTCCATTGTATATATGCCAAATAAATCCTCATAAAATATGTTAACTCGGTAAGGAGTTCTAATGTAAATGCCGTTTTATACACTTTTTTCATGCGCGCTCAAACTAATTCTAGAATCACCTTTTCCACTTCGAATAGGGCACCTCCGAAACATGGATTTGAACTAGAGATGATATTTTCCGGGTTGTAAATGGAGTCTAATAGACAAAAAATACCTTAAATCGGTAGATACGGTTATATGGGGCTATATCGAAACTTGGACCCAGGGATTTCTATATTGGATTGGATTTTGGATTTCTATATTTGCTTTGACATTAAAAACATGGATGCAAAATTTTGGCCGCCTATGTCAAGTGGTTCGGCAGTTAATGAGTCCGGAAATTACAGAAATTCTCTTAGCATTTACAGCATTAATATGTGTATTTAATAAAGTAGAATGCAAATGAGGTTGAAACTGGGTCGATGACCCTTGCGTCGAGACAGAAGGAATCAAATGTTTGATAGGTAGACGATATAGGCAACAACATCATTTGCAGGGTTGCCAAAAACATGTCATGACTGAGTTGTCAACCCTAACCTCTACACCGCTTCATTTGAAGACAAGATGAAATAAGCGCATTTGCAGAACGACTTTTGCTAGTTGGGAACTTGTAACAAATTATTGTTTTGACCGCCTACATGGACTTCCTTCTATATGGGTGAAAGAAACTGGATTTGTGGCATTATACTTCTAAACTACATGCGATATTGAACTTCTGGAGACATAATATTCTTCAGACATCTCTCTTAGTCACATTCCAATCGTATAATCGCCAACAATGAGTTTTTTACTCCACAATATGCGTTTTATTAACCCCAACTCGAATTTATCGCTTTTCACTTCTATATGGTTGTTTGTGACTGTATATTACAATTTTTTATTAAATGTTTATTAGGTTAGGTTTTGGGATGTGCACTCTGAGACCGGTTAGGTCCGTTGTGTTCATCCAAAAAAATGTTTATTAAAACTACTTCTTAACACTCAAAAATACTTAAACTTTACAAAAAATATAAACTATGGTACATATAATAACGGTATTTTTTAAATTCGTCAGAGTTGCATATGTTTTGATCCAGCTAATATCGAGTAATCTATTTTATCAATAAATTTTACAGCAAAATACCAAAAATTTCTGGGAAAATACAATTAGTTTTAGTTAAACCTACAACGTTGAAAAAATACCAAGTTGTCACATATTTTACAACTTCAAATAAATTTCAGTTGCAAATGATTTGTCCAATATTGTATCAATTTATGAGCAAATGTCAAACTGTACGTTAGCGCTAGGTGACCAAGGATTCCTCTATATCACTGTATGTCTCATTGAGGCATTAATGTTCCGTAGCATCAGCAACGAATACAGGATTTCATTTCGGGGGTCCCGTTAGTACAAAATGAAAATAATCACTGTTGCAAACATAAATTTACTGTGACAAAATGTAATTTCGGGGGCTCTGGCTATATCATTGCGTAGCATAACATTAGTTTTTAGTTTTTGTGCGGATATATACGACGATTGAATTATTTAACCCAGCTCTTTATGGTACTATATGATACAAATTCATTCTTATACAAATATTCAAGTAAAACGATATACTCTTTTCGCGATGCACTCCACGTCGAATTTGTGAAATATTAACACATAGTTAATTAGAATATTTTGACTAATACGGCAAATCGGACTGAATACGT